TACAAGTTATTTTAAAATCAGGCTTTAGCACATTTCTAGTTGTAACCATTAAATTAATTTTTTTTTGACAGCATAGCTATTTATAATGAATTAATCCTTTGTCCACTGTTGTTCATATAAGAGCCAGATCGTGTATTCTTTAATTCCCTACTACCTATTCGGTCACCTCACTAGGAGCGAGAGCAACTTTTCAAGAAGCGCAATAGCTACCCTTTCAATGCAAACCTGCAGCAAACTTGAAACCTGAATTTCAATTGTCGAGCCAATTAGAAATTTCAAAACGATTTAAAATAATAGATTGTCCAGCTTATTACACAATCACCTAAATAAGATAATAGTAGTGCGGATTTAAGTGAAATCTACTTGGCACTTCCTATGCCAGCAGTCTGGGAATTGTTCGAACAATAAAATAATATTTTGCGTTGTTGGATGAAGTGGTAATGCGCGCCTTGTTACTAATATAAATATTTATATGACTAAAAACAGTACTAAAAGACAACATATATTTTTTTGGTAAGTGAGTCAAGACTTACTTTTCCCTCCTAAATTCCATAAAATGTATCTCCAGCTAGAGCAAAGCAAATCCACTAGTAAGGCATCGACCTTTACAACGCCTCGGAATGCATAAACGGCATTCCTGTATTCAGAAAGATTAGTATTCGACCGAATGCTGACTTCGCAACGAACCAATCGACAGCAATTACGGTAACCGACAACTCGTTTCTAACTTGCTTCGACTTCTCCGGTCGATTCGAAACTAACACACTGGCCGGAGTGGCTGCTGACTGCGTTTGAGGCGGCGAAATTCCAACTCTCTAGCGCATGGTGGCAGGTTGCAGCATCGTCGAATTCCATCGAGAAAGAATCGGAAGTGAGATTGGTTTTTCAACCAACTAAATCTGAATGATAAAAAGCTAACAGCATAGACCGCGGTTGTTGATTCATATCAAAGTTTAGTCATGATTAAATCAGGAATGCGTTTCAATCCAATATACAGTGATTGCAATCTGAAAGCTGGTTCTATCCATTCTTTTAAGGACAGACATTAAGGATAGAAGATCCCACTTCGACAATTTTTTAGTTTATTCCTTTCTCATGTCAGAAGTTAACTGTATGCTCAGCCAGTGGCAAATCCAGGATTTT